GCTGTCATAGCAAGATTTATGTATGGATCAAAATGGGCTTTGTGGTAACTCAGATATCTAAAGTGGCTACTCCAAATTATGACCCTATTATTGTATATGTTTCTGACATAATTTCAATACCATTATATATAAATGTTAACATCTCATTTGAATAGCTCGGTCTGGCAGACTTTTCAGCCTAGATTGACAGTAAAATAGGAACAATGACAAAAATGAGGTCAGGATAAATAGCAAGCTTTGTTTTAGAGTTCTTACACAATCTTTTATCCAAACTACTCAAGAAAGAAAGGTTTATTATTTAGTAGTATGGAAATGATATTAAAGAATTTTATTTTTATATTGGAATAGAATAGCTCTTCAAAATGCAATATTATCTACAACAAACTTTGTAATCCTGCATTTAGCTTTAAAAGGATTTTACAAGATCAGTTCTATCTAAAGTAAAACAACATATAAGCTTTTTTTGACAGAGTATTCTTTGCATATATAAGCAATTAGAAGTTGAATTTCAATACTATTCTAAAGGGATAAAATATTAACATAATATATCTAGTTAAGAAATCTGAGCTAATTAAATCTGTAGATTTATTTTTTCCCCTAACATATGGTGAGGTGCTTTTGCATAACAAAATACATCGATCTCATCCCACAATATGAATGACAAGCTTAGGATAGAGTGTTCCTTCAATCTTCAACTTCAAATTAGCCATTATAAAAAATAACATTTTAATGCTATGTTATAATTTATAGAATGTAATTGGAAAACAAAACTGTTTTGACCTGTATATATTTACCCATCTCATTTATCTAAACATCTTCCATCCTTAAAAAAAAGAAGAAGAAAACAAAACAACATGTTTTTCAAGTATGGGATAAAGTCACCAAATTGCTATACAAAAGACAAATGATGTATATTATTATTTTTTAAATCCTACTAATGACTGGAGTAAATTAGGCTTTTAAAATAATTAGGCTACAGATATGTCTAAACAGTGTAATTGTGTGAGAAATCATTGACAAATCTGAATCTTTTCACCATGGATAATTGACTCACTTAAGTGGTGATGTGAATAATCATAGTATAGCAGTTATTAAAACTGAAACTATGCATAGTACCTTGGATCTTAAGAGAAACTGAAGCATCTGTGGCTTTTTAAATATTATTTGAGGTTGTCATCCCAGACTACTGACTGTGATGATAACTGGAATACCAAATCCAGCTGGAGAAGTACAGCTTTTATTTAATTATTTTATTCAATTTCTATAGCTGCCCATCTCAGTCCAATTGCTGTGGGGCAATGAACAGTATCACAATTAAAAGTACAAAAACACAAATAAGCTTCCTTTTCCCATCTAAATAATTGATGGCATTGGAATTGTCTCCTGTCAAATCTAACTGAGTATATTGAGTGTCTTCAATTTATTTCAACTTACGGTTTTCAGACATAATTTCACAAATGCATATTCACTGCATAGCAGTACAGATAAAAAATTACAGATCAAACATTAGTAATACCTAACATCATCTCACTGTCAAACTCCATGTAGCTCCCAAACCAAAGAAGCTAGAAACATACAAGTTTCAGAAAGGTATCTTTAATACTAGCCTGAGGTAAAAACATAACCATGAAAACTGTAAGAGTAAATCCCCAGTCAGACTCATGGTGAGTTGTTTAAAGCAAATACTTTATTCCTAATATTCTTACTTCAGGACTGGATTGATTCTTCTCACCTAAACTGCACTTGTCTTCGCTTCCAGTGCAATATTTCCATTAGAAAGAACTCAATGAAATTCATTACATTTTGAGAAATAAGAAAGCTATCTTATCATTGCTTTTCCTAGCCTAATATGACCCGCTTCAGCTGGTCCTTTGAGAGCAAAGAACTGATCTGTGCAACTGATTTTGTCGAAATGACAAGCAAAGCCAACTAAGTCACAGTTTAGTACTAGATATCTAATTTATTTATTTATTTTGTTTTAGAATATGGTGTACATTAGCCAGGCAAATTTACAATGTTTTATATCGCCGAGTAGTTCTGGCAACCTAACATTGTCAGTTCATTTTGTTAACGTATGGTTAATATTAAAATATACCACAGGGGGCAAACTAGCGGAATACTCATTAGCAGTATCCAGGAGATATCAAGTCATCTAGGTTTTCTTCCACCAATCTCGCCTCGCATATGGAGAGGTCCAACATTGGGTCCCCTTTCCATAGGGAAAGCTGCTAGCTCTTCCCAACTAAGTGGTATCTATTTATTTGCTGGCATTTTTATATGCTTTTGAACTGCTAGATGGGCAGGAACTAGGGTCAAATGATGGGAGTTCACTCTGCAATGCGGTATCATGGACTTGAATTGCCAGAGTGCCAACCATCTGTAGCCAAGAGTGCCGATCATTAAAACCAGTGTGCCACCACACCCCCTTAGTAGATTCCTAATAGCATTTTCTATAAAAAATAAAATGGATGTGTAACATGCATGAAGGTTTTTGTAATTCTGATTAGTAAGTATTGGTACATGTATATTTCATTAGTTTTTTTCATTAGGTACTTATGTTTTTGCAGTCTCTGCCAAAATGTGGGTCCTATTGAATGAGACTTCCAGATTTTGAATTTAGGTTATGATACAGTATACATAACAACTGAGCAAATAAGATTAAAGAAACATGGCCTACATTTATCAAACAATTCAATTAATTAATCAACAATACTGTATTGTTCAAAAATTAACTTTCATTTCACTAGTCAGTCAATTTCATTTATGCCATTGTTCCACAGAAGATAAATATCTTAGTTCCGTACCAAAGAATAATATCTACTTGCAAATTAATCCTGCAGTAAGGCCTTATTCGAAATAGCAAGAATATTCCTGGTAATGATAGGATGTCATAAATATTATGCAGTTTCCCAGAAGAGATACATAAACAGTTTCCTTCCAAGTGTCATTTTATACTGATTTTGTATCCTTACACACTTTAAATGAAATTCTTCATGGCAATAATTTTATTATCTATTAATAGAGTACAAGAAATGTTGACTGTATAACTAATTCAATATATGTTATTTTCATTATACATTAAAAATCTTATTAAAAGTACTTTGATAGGGTACTTTGAAAAGCAAATTATACTTTTGAGATGTACCCACCATCATTTCCTGTTCTTCTATATTTGGTAAATATAGCATAAACAACTGATAACATCAGATTTCACATGAATTAAAAAGTGAAACCAATGGCAATCAGATCATAATAACTATACATTTCTAATGCTTTAGAAAGCATGGGTAAAAGAAAAAAAATCAAAATGAAAGTCTTTGTTATCCATCTAATATGAAAAAATAGTAAAAATACAAGGGCTTATCAGAATATACAAGGGCTTATTAGATTAAAGGGCTTATCAGAGTATAATGTTACCATTAAATATACAGTATATATTTATATATATTTAATAGTAACATTATACTCTGATAAGCCCTTTAATCAGTAGATATACATGCAAAATAATAAAATGTAACTGATTCATATTATACAAAACACAACTGAGGGAATTAGGCACAAATTTGAAATTTGCAAAATTATACAAACCCAATCACTATCAATACTTGTTAAATTGAAATTGATTTCCAAATTCCTAGGCTAGGTAGACAAGAAACTATTAGCATATCTATGCTGCACATCAAGTATAAACTACATAGGAAGTGTAGAAAAGACTTGTAACCTTACTACTTTTCTTTGATCATTATAATTTCATTTTTTAAAAAAAAATGTGCATTTGCTATCTTGGAGAAGCATTAAAATATGCAAACTCAATCTAATTAATAGCAATTAATTACATTTTAGACAACAGCTGGAATATTTATCTAGCATATGGTCCTGATAAATATGGAATATTTATCTAGTATAATTGAGTTGATTAAGCTGGTGGACAGAATTTCAGCTCACTCATAGAACTAAAGCTGATCACAGATTTTCAGAGCAGTCCAACATTAGTAGCATCTTTTACTGACCAGATCATTCAAACTAGCAGCCATGGAGTTTCCCCAAACATAGTTGCTAAGCAGTCTGTCTGTCCATCTATCTGTCTACCTACCTATCTATCCATCCATCTATACATACATACATTCATACATACATAGATACACATACACACAGAGATCAATCTATTATCCCTCTTGCAAATAGTGAATTAGATAGAGCTATTTAGGAAGATGTTATAAATAATAATTAAACCTTTATCACAGCTGGATGCTCACAGACAAATGTAAAAAAAGAAGTAATTTTTTTAGTGAACTCTAAAATAAATTTACAAGAGCATATCCAGTCCAAAAACTCTTCAGTAAACTGAAGCAAACGTAAAACTTCAGTAAACTGAAGCAAACGTAAAACTAAACTTAACAAACTTCACTAAACTTCAACAAACAGCTTCAAGTAGGATTCAATTATACAATTCCAACTATAGGTAATCCTTGATTTACAATAATTTGTCTGTCAACAGTTTGAAGTATTAACAGCATTGAAAAAACAGCACCTGACTAGTTCTCACACTATGACTGTCAAAGCATCCCCATCATCATATGAACAAACTCGGGCACTTAGCAACCAATGTATTTATGATGGCTGCAGCATCTTGGGATTATAAGGTTGCCATTTGTCATCTTCTGGTTTTCCAACAAGCAATACCAATGGGGAAAATCAAAATTTATTAATGACTGTACAGTTCATTTAACAACTGCAGTAATTTGCTTAACAACGTGACATAAAGGTTGTAAAATTGGACACATCTCATTTAACAACCGCCTTGCTTAGCACTGAAAATTCTGTTTCCAATTCTGATCATAATTTGAGATCCACTTGTATTGTTTTACCTAAGCGCACTAAAAGTCTTATTTGGATAAAATCTATCGGATGTTTACAGAAAACCATGGAGAATCATATACAAGTGTGCTATTTTCCAGAAGAAACTTGCTGCCATTTTTAATACAAATGATTTCACTTACCATATTGTGGGTGGTTCAGAACCTTCTATTTCCAAGTAATCATATTTCTCTTCCATATGAAAATCTGTAAAGATGAGTGAGATGGTGTCTCCAGGTTCTGCCACAATTGTCCATGTACAGTCTGCATTATTGTGGTACTCATTTGGAAAATTAGGACTAGAGACGACGCCACTGGATCCCCTCATTGTTCCTCCGCATGCATCTTCCG